CACAGATAAATTGGGAGCAGATGGGGAAAAATGATAAAAATAATACAAGGGGACTCAAAAAATCTGCAACTGCCAAAAATAAAATGCATTTTATAACATTTAAGGGAAAAGAATCCAAAATACAGTTATTCAACAGAAGAGAGAATTCTTGAAGGCAGTAATGCTCATATAAACTTAGGAATGATAACGGACAACCACGTGGACATGAATTTGCAATGCATTATTGCAGACAAAAGGAACAATGCAATTCTGAGCAGCAAATACAGATGCTGTGGAGCAAGAAAATAATAATCACCCTAAATATGGCTCTGGTGCAACTGCACTTACAATATTTTGTTTGGTTTTAGTACCTTCATTACAAGAAAGATATTGACAAATTGGAAGAGGTTCACAGTACAGCAACAAAATGTATTAGGAGCTGGAGGGATTGACATACAAGCAAATATTAAGAGTTAAATATGCATTACTTGACTAGATAACTATACTGGACAGTGGAGTGAAGATAATATTGTAGAAGTATTTATCCACCTACGTTCTTAAAATAGCATAATAAGCCAGTAGACCAACTTCTCCCAAAGGCAGTCAAGGCTATTATTTTAAATGATTACTTTGAAGTCCATAAATGAAGAGGAAGAAGAGTTAAGATTATATAAAAGGGTAAAACTAGAAGAAATGGGATAAAATGAAGAGGAAAATATACACTACGTATTTATATTAGTAAAAACTTCCCAACAGAGAGACCTATTAAGCTGTGGAGTAATATCTGCATGAAAGTGATAGAGGTTCTGTCTCGTGGGACATTTTAAATTAGACTTTACAAAACAGAAGAAAGTGCAATACTAATCAAATCTCCACTGGCAAAAGGCTGTACTAGACCTCATAGGTCATATTTCTAACTTATGATTCTTGGGACACAAAAAGAAACCCTAGATCTGGCAAGGCCTTTGGAAGAGAGGGTCACTGCTGAGTTCTCTGTCCCCAACTGAGCAAACATTTATCTGCTTAACTGCTTTGCTGGATCAGAGGCAGAATATTCAAGCAACTTACAGTGTAGAGCCCAACATGTACAGTAATAAGATGTTAGAGTCCAAGAAAATCAATTTGTCTGATAAATACATTAATGACCTCTAACTTTAACAGATCATAACTCTAACCAGAGAGACACCAGCAGTGGCACAGTAATATACACTCTAGGAGATAACACTAAGACAATATGTGTATTATTTTTGCTATTTTTTTTTAACGCTGTCAAAATATTGACCACTTCTAAATAGAAAACGTGAGCCTTGGAAGACCAGATTTAATGCAAAATATATGCACAGCCTTGAATAACCCTCTGGAGAAGGCAGGATTGCTTGACAGTAACTCCTCGCTTAAAGTCATCCCGGTTAACGTTGTTTCGTTGTTACGCTGCTGATCAATTAGGGAACATGCTTGTTTAAAGTTGCGCAATGCTCCCTTATAATGTTGTTTGGCAGCCTCCTGCTTTGTCCACTGTTTGCAGAAAGAGCAGCCCATTGGAGCTAGCTAGTGAGGGCTTGGAATCAGGATGGATCCTAAGTTCTTTGTGCGGCAGCTGCCCAGCAGGTTATCAACTGGCAGTTCAGCTGTCCTTCCCCTCACTGCCATGTGCTGCTCCTGCCCTCTGCCTTGGAGCTGCTCCCGGGAGCCTCCTGCTTGGTGTGTGGGGGAGGGGGAGGAGAGAGGAGGGCTAATGTCAGGGTGTCCCATTCCCCCCCTGCTCCTGCCCCTCGCTTACCCCATTTCCATAGACCGGGGAGGGGGGACAAGACAGGGCTCAGGACAGAGGGAGCATGCTGGCAGCAGGGGCTGTCTCAATTTGCTGATCTACTTAAAAAGGCAATATACTTAGAGGGGAGTCAGCATACTTAAAGAGGCAATGTGCATCTCTCTCTCTCTCTCACACAGAGAGAGTGTGTGTGTCTGTCTGCCTTGCTGTCTCCCCTCCGTCCATTTGTGCTGCCTGAAGAGTGTAAGACTACATTAACAACAATGTGTTAACCCTTGAGGGCTCAGTTGTTCTAGTTCATCATTTAGCAGCAAGGCATTCCCTGGAAAATATCCCACCCTCTTCCACCCTCTGACTTCACCACATCAACCAAGCTTTACAATCATCATTGCTGTGTACAGTCATAAATAATCGGTCTAAAACCTATACTTTGTGTGTACATAAAATATAGTCTTGTCTGGTGAAAAAAATTTCCCTGGAACCTAACCCTGCCTATTTACGTTAATTCTTATGGGGAAATTGGATTCACTTAACATCGTTTCACATAAAGTCGCATTTTTCAGGAACATTAAGCGAGGAGTTACTGAACTATTTTGTGTTTATACCCATAACGAAGTACCATAAATACCAGGTTTTGGCAGCTCAAAACTCATGTACGTAAAGCTACTGTATGACCTTTTGCAAAACCAGAAAAAAGCTTTGTTCTCTGGCATGTTGGGTGAATGAGGGGTGCTGGTAAGTCAAAAATTCCAGTTAACTAAGAGGGATGGAGTTTGGGTGCAGGAGGGGGCTCAGGGCTGGGAGTTGGGGTGCTGGAAAGGGTGCAGGCTCTGGGAAGGAGTTTGGGTGCAATAGGGGGCTCAGGGCAGGGGGCTGGGTTGTGGGAGGGGTTTCGTGGTGCCGGATCCGGGCAGCACTCACCTTGGGAGGCTCCCGAAAGCGGCAACATGTCCCTGTTGCTCCTATGCAGAGACATGGCTACGTACCTCTGGGTGCTGCCTCTGCCCACAGGCGCGGTTCCCGGCCAATGGGAGCTGTGGGGCCAGCACTTGGGGTGGGGCGGGTGGAGCACACGGAGCTCCCATGGCTGTTCCTTTGCCTAGGAGTAGCAGGGACATGTCGTCGATTGCGGGGAGCCGCCCAAGGTGAGTGCCGCACAGATCTGGCACCCTGAAATGCCAGTTTCTATAGCTTTCAGCTTGGTAATGTGCCAGATAACACAAGCTTTTACTGTACTAAGTTTTGTCATGACTAGAGCCAGTCAGAAAATATTTTTCTCCACTGGAGAACCAAAACTGAAATATTTTTTTCTTCAACAGAAATAATTCAATTCTGAAATGCTGCTGCGGTACGCCCCTTGTATTTGTAGTTTACTCCTATTCTCTTCTATAAGCAGTATCTCTAGCTGGTCTACATCTCTCATGGTCCACCACACAGTCTCCCCTCTTGGTGAGGACAGGAGAAACACCAAGGAGATGAAGTCCAGTTCAGGAGCCAGGCCCCCAAAGGAGAATGAGGACATAAAGGCAATTGAACTACAACTCTCATGAAGTACCACAGCAGCGTGAAATGGAAATATGTAGGTTTCAGCTGAAATATTTGGATTTTTGATTAAACTGAAGTTTTCTGTGGAAAGCAGATATTTTTCACAAAAAAAACTACTTAGCCAAAACCTCAATTTTTCCATAGAAAAAGTTAACAGAAAATTTTCAAGCCAAGCCTAGATGCAAAGCTACGTTGCTTCAGTCATAGAATCATAGAATATCAGGGTTGGAAGGGACCTCAGGAGGTCATTTAGTCCAACCCCCTGCTCAAAGCAGGACCAATCCCCAATTAAATCATCCCAGCCAGGGCTTTGTCAAGCCTGACCTTAAAAACTTCTAAGGAAGGAGATTCTACCACCTCCCTAGGCAACGCATTCCAGTGTTTCACCACCCTCCTAGTGAAAAAGTTTTTCCTAATATCCAACCTAAACCTCCCCCACTGCAACTTGAGACCATTACTCCTTGTCCTGTCCTCTTCCACCACTGAGAATAGTCTAGAACCATCCTCTCTGGAACCACCTCTCAGGTAGTTGAAAGCAGCTATCAAATCCCCCCTCATTCTTCTCTTCTGCAGGCTAAACAATCCCAGTTCCCTCAGCCTCTCCTCATAAGTCATGTGTTCCAGACCCCTAATCATTTTTGTTGCCCTTCGCTGGACTCTCTCCAATTTTTCCACATCCTTCTTGTAGTGTGGGGCCCAAAACTGGACACAGTACTCCAGATGAGGCCTCACCAATGTCGAATAGAGGGGAACGATCACGTCCCTCGATCTGCTCGCTATGCCCCTACTTATACATCCCAAAATGCCATTGGCCTTCTTGGCAACAAGGGCACAGTGCTGACTCATATCCAACTTCTCGCCACTGTCACCCCTAGGTCCTTTTCCGCAGAACTGCTGCCTAGCCATTCGGTCCCTAGTCTGTAGCTGTGCATTGGGTTCTTCCGTCCTAAGTGCAGGACCCTGCACTTATCCTTATTGAACCTCATCAGATTTCTTTTGGCCCAATCCTCCAATTTGTCTAGGTCCCTCTGTATTCTATCCCTGCCCTCCAGCGTATCTACCACTCCTCCTAGTTTAGTATCATCCGCAAATTTGCTGAGAGTGCAATCCACACCATCCTCCAGATCATTTATGAAGATACTGAACAAAACCGGCCCCAGGACTGACCCCTGGGGCACTCCACTTGACACCGGCTGCCAACTAGACATCGAGCCACTGATCACTACCCGTTGAGCCCGAAAATCTAGCCAACTTTCTACCCACCTTACAGTGCATTCATCCAGCCCATACTACTTTACCTTGCTGACAAGAATACTGTGGGAGACAGTGTCAAAAGCTTTGCTAAAGTCAAGAAACAATACATCCACTGCTTTCCCTTCATCCACAGAACCAGTAATCTCATCATAGAAGGCAATTAGATTAGTCAGGCATGACCTTCCCTTGGTGAATCCATGCTGACTGTTCCTGATCACTTTCCTCTCACGTAAGTGCTTCAGGATTGATTCTTTGAGGACCTGCTCCATGATTTTTCCGGGGACTGAGGTGAGGCTGACTGGCCCGTAGTTCCCAGGATCCTCCTTCTTCCCTTTATTATTCCCTCTTTCTTCCCTTATTCCCTTTATTAGTCATTTAGGAGGTTCTCACAACATGTTACTAAATTCTGACCATTAAAAATGTAAAATTACCCCCAAAACTTAAACCTTACCTTGGATACTTCTTCTTTTCCACTGGTTTCTTTAATGAATACTTTTTCTAATTCAGGGCTTATTCCTTCTACATTGCACGGCACACGTGAAACAGTTGATTTTGGCACTGAAATATTTGACAGTGGCATAGGGACTGATCTTGAGATAGACGCCTACAAGGTCAATCAGATAAAATATTATGTAGGCTTTAAAATTGGAGAGTTTCATAAGATGAAACATTAGCTCAGTATTAGTGAGGTCATTATATTTTAAAAATCTATAAACAGCGAATTAAAAAATCATGTACTAATTTTAAAATCTAGAGGAGCTCATTTTCATCTTTAGTTTGTGAATTTAATATTAAAAAACATACTTACCACTAAGAAACTAGGAAGACAGAAATTAAAAAGATTACATAAATGTAATGCCACTCACACTACTTTTTCTTGTAAAGTGAACAACAGAATTTTATATGAAATATTTTACTGCAGTGCTTTTCAATATTTGGCCTGTGTAATTTCTAGGGAATGCAAAGGTGTGGCATGCAGAATGCAAAGGGAGAAAAACCTCTCACAAACAAAGCCTTCAGATAGATAAAAGAAGTAAAAAGAAAAATGTAAAGAAAAACAACAAATCCAGTCAGACCACTTCTTTGTAATTTCCCCATATCCTGTACATGCTTACTCTATAGACACTGCTAGTTATATTTTGCATACTGGCACAAATGCATGTTCATGTTTAACTCTGGCATTTCCTGACATTTGAGTGTCTAGCCGTGCAACGTTAACATTCTCTTTATGCAGTTTTTTTTTCTTTTTTGACTGGTTTATAGCAAAGGTAAAATGAAACTTTCATTCTAAACTTTTATTTTCAGAACTACATCCTTTTCCATGTTTGTTCCAGATATTGCTTTTGCCTCAAAATCAGAAGAGAATCTGCGTAGTCATTTCAAGATCAGGCATTCAAATAAACACAGGTATGGTTTTGAGGAAAGGCATACTAACTTCTTGATTTAAAGGCTGGAAATTAATGTTACCATAACATTAGGGTCTTTCATTACATGATCAGTGAATACTGAGCAACGTGACATTCACAGTATCCAGCAAATAATGTAATAAACAGGAACAAACTTAGTCTTCTACAGTAAGACTAAATTGCACCGTGTACTGTTTTATGCTTTTACTGCATCCTTTTCTATGCTCTCAGCATGTAGCTCTTTATTACTACATATCTCAAAGACGACTTGCAATTCAGGCAGACAAGACAGCAGACTTAGTTTGGCTATGGAAACATTAATTTATAATTGTAAGATTAAAGTTGCATTTGAGATTTTGTTTGGGTTTTTTTTTTTAAATAATTCAGAATTATGCTTGTATTTCTGTATTTCTTTAGTTTGTTTTCCCACCAATCTCCAGTTTATTTTGGCAACACTAAGAACGTGAGCATTGAAAATGCTGTTTAGAAGTTCATTTGTTTTTGCTTTATGTTCTTCACATTAATGACTGTTTGTGCCATCACTATTGATTGCTTTGAAAATGACATATTAAACTTACACTTATGATTTCTTGAGACACCCTAAAGAACAGATATACTAAAGAACCAAGTTCTTGTTTCCATGTCCATTTCACAAGTATTAAGGAACAAGGAAAGAGAAACTTTTATTTATACAACGCCATAATTGTGTACGGCATTTTACAGACAAGAAAGAAATAGTCCCTATTCCCAAAAAGCTTCCAGCCTAAATTTGTTTGCAGCGACGTTGAAGCCATGTTGGTTCAAGGATATTAGAGACAAGGAGGGTGAAGTAATGTCTTTTATTGGACCAATTTCTGTTGTGAAAGAGACACGTTTTCGAGTTTACACCGAACCCAGACCTGAAGAAAAGTTGTGTAAGCTCAAAAGCTTGTCTCATTCATCAACAGCAGTTGGTCCAATAAAAGATGTTAGCTCATCCACCTTGTCAATTGAAATCTAGACATACCATAACAAGTGAGAACACAAACAGTGGGAAGGAGGAAGGGGACGACAAAAAATACATATATTTCTAGTCCAAGCAAGAACTTGACTATCAATTGACTTTTTTTTAAATTGTTATTTTGTACACTGATAAAACCTGATAAATAGAGAGATGGGTTGGAGAGATGTGCTCAAAATAAGGAGAGGAAAAACAGAGTATATAGTTTTCAGAGTAGCAGCCGTGTCAGTCTGTATTCGCAAAAAGAAAAGGAGGACTTGTGGCACTTTAGAGACTAACAAATTTATTTGAGCATAACACAGTTTCAAGTATATGGGTTCCAGAATCTGGGGAAATGAAGGACAAAATTAGAGCTGGATTAATAAGTGCCTACCTCAAATGGAGAGAGAGAGAAGTGGTTTAGTATGTGATAGGAAGATACCAATAAGATTAAAAGGGAAAGTCTAAAACTGGACAAACTGCTGTTTTATAATGTATAATGCTGAGTATTGGACAACAAAGAAGAAACATGAACAAATGATTTGTTACCCAAAAATGCAAATGTTGAGATGGATGACTGCTGTAAGCAAGAAAGACCATGTAAAGAATGAGTACATTAGAGCAATGTGGCACCTTAAAGACTAACAGATTTATTTGGGCATAAGCTTTAGTGGGTAAAAAACCCACTTCTTCAGATGCATGTCTTGTTGTTTTTGTGGATACAGACTCACACGACTACCCCGATACTTTAGAGCAATGTGACATTCATACTATTCAACAAATAATATAACCAACTGGTACATGCTCAATGTAACATTTATGAATGAAAATAAGATGAGGGAGTACAGGCTCAGATGATTTGGTTATGTAAAGGCTGTCCTAACTACTATGTGGTAAGATCAAGACAGAAGGAAAAAGAGAGAGGTTGCCCAAGAAGTGGTGAGATGTTAGAAAGGAAGACATGTTAGTATGTGGTGTGATAGAGAATATGGCACTGAGCACAGCACTTGGGAGGGAGACAACTTGTATAGCAGACCCCATTTGATGGGATTAACACAAAGAAAAAAGAAGAATTTTTTACACTGAAAAACTGAAGCTGCCTGTGCTTATTTTTTATGGGGTGAGCGGAATTTAGATGCTTGTCTAAGGAATATAGAAGTGCAAAGGGAGGAAGAGATGGAGCAATGGTCAAGAGGATAGGAGGATTGGAAAGGGGCACTTAGTAGTGGTGAGAACAAATGTAGCTAGTAGTGTTACTTTATAAGTAAAGTTAGTCAGTTTCATTCCATCTTTTAAACTCACTAATATTACTTCTAAAGGTCATTCCATCCTTCAAATTGACTAAATTTAGTTGTAAAATTCATTTCCTACAATCTCCGTGAAATCAAATACTTTATCATTTACACTGTAGTGAATTTTCTAAAAATAAAAATTGTGATTTGCACAGGGCTCTAACTATAAAGCCAGAAGAACTACTGTGATCATCTAATCTGACCACCTGCATAACACAAGCTATAGAATGTCCCTGAATTAATTCTTGTTTTCACTAGAGTGCAACTTGTAGAAAAACATCCAATCTAAATTTAAAAATTGCCAGTGATGGAGAATCCACCACAACCCTTGGTAAGCTGTTCCAATGGTTAACTATCCATACTGTTAAAAAACCCTCTGCCTTATTTCCTAGTCTGAATTTGTGTAGCTTCACCTTCCAGTCTCTGAATCTTGTTACACCTTCATCTGCTAGAATGAAAACTCTATTATCAAAATTTTGTTCCACATAAAGCTATTTACAAACTGTGATCAAGTCACCCCTTAACCTTCTCTGTTTCTGTGAAGATATGTCCTTGCTAATGTTGCAGCTGGCCATGGTGATGAGTAAGTTTCTGGGGATCTTTTAATATCCTCAAATTATGGAGGTATGTGGAAGTAGCCTGCCACTGGACCCAAAGATCCCGAACATCTCAGTGACAATGATCCAATGAAGCGAAAGACAAAGGTAGGTAAGACCAGCTTGCCCTCCCAGAATCCAGCTGCTGCACTGGTGGCAGTGGCATTCCTTGAAGGTGACAGACAGCCAGTGTTCCCAGGATGTCAACTGGCAGTGGTAGACATAGACATAAGGAGATAACAAGTAGTCCCAGCTCAACCACTGAAGCCTTTTGCTGATGCTATGTCTGACTGCACGGGTATTTTTGAGAAGAGTTTTTAAAGGGTATCCTTCAACATTTACAGGAGGCATAAGTTGCTTTCTTGGCACAGTTCTCTTTTGTATTATCTGATTGTGACTTTAGAATAAAATCCCAAGTAGCGCCCATGACATCAATTTGTGTTAAGCATTTCAACATGACTTTAAACACAGGAAGGGAATCAAAGGAGAAGTGGAAAGAAACAGAAGGCTATTCACTTAATTCTGTTAATTAAAAAAACAAAAAGGTTGCTGATACTAGCAGTGAACTGCTTACCTGAGTCTGACTGATTGCTATGTGGTTGCCATGGAGCGGTGACTGACGTTCTTTTTCTTTACTGTGACGACTACTCTGTTTGCTGCGTTGGAGTTGCTGCCTCAATTTGGCAATCTGCTGGAAAGACATAAAATCAAGGTAAGATGAGGAGATGTGACCCAGGTAACTGTTTATACCTTTACTTGTATCAAGCAGTATCGTGGACAAAAGAAAGAATCAAATATTTTCTAGAGCATTTTATAAAGGAACATGTCTGTGGCTTCTTGCAGCACAGGCGTTAATCATCTGGCCTATTCATTACATTCTTTTCCAAAAATACTCGCCTAACCAACAATCTGAATATGAAGGCAAACTCAATTTAAATGCTGAATTTTCTCAGGTGCAAAATAAGCCCTCTCTAATAATAGATGCAAACAACAATCATTCCTCCGGACTCTAGCCTCTTGTCAGATTTTGTTGCTTCTCAACTGGTTTGGCATCAGAGAAAATAATTTACAGACTTTATATATTTCCTTAGTCCTAAACAGAACCATATTTATCATTGATATTTCCCATCATTACTGACAAAAAGTCTTCAAAATCTGACAACTAACATGCATAGCTTCACTTCAGAAAAGCTATCTAACACACCTTTAGCCTACAGATATAACTGTTGTTTTAAGACTGCCCCAGGGAGACCAATTCTCTGTTTTTTTAAGTCATCAGCACTTTGCCAAACAAAAAAACCTACACAGTGATGCCTATTCAAAGATTCACACATTTTAAGGTGAAAAGGGACCATGACCATTATTGGTCATTTACTCTGACCGGGTGCCTAACACACGTTACAGAATTTTACCCAAGGATCCCTACATCTAGCCCAATAACTTCTGACTGAATACAGCAGATCTTTCAAATACATCTAATCTTTAAAGACTTCATGTTTGTGTGGTAAGACTTATTTTCCATTGTAAGGGAAATATCATTTTGCATTCTTGGTTTTCAATCTCCCTGGGTCCATGAGATGAGAAAATGGTTTCAATATACTAAATTCACACACTCTCTTGTCTGCATAGCTGAAGTAAGGCAGAGCAATTCCTATTGCGCTATACAGATTCCTTCTTGGGTAACATCCCACAAGGTGGTGTTTTGGAGGATATTCCCTTAAATATGACTTTTTGAAGAAAATTCTATTTATAGCATTTACTAACGCTATACAAAACGGAGAGATTACTGCACAAATCACAGGAAAAAGGGAGCATACAGAGACTACATTAAGACTTTAAGGTCAGAAAGGACCATCATGATCATCTAGTCTGACCTCCTGCACATTGTAGGCCACAGAACCTCACCTACCCACTTAAAACTACAATACCCACCTGGGAAAGTGAGGAAACAGACTGACAGAGCAAGATGGGTACCCAGAAGTCTCCTACTATAGGACTGGCCCAACAAGGAAAACAACGGAACACACTGGCCATCATATACAGCCCCCAGCTAAAACCTCTCCAGCACATCATCAACGATCTATAACCTATCCTGGAAAACGATCCCTCACCGGGAGGCAGGCCAGTCTTCGCTTACAGACAGTCCCCCAACCTGAAGCAAATACTCACCAGCAACTACACACCACACCGCAGAAACACTAACCCAGGAACCAATCCCTGTAACAAACCCCGTTGCCTACTCTGTCCCCATATCTACTCTAGCAACACCATCAGAACACCCAACCACATCAGCCACACCATCAGTGGCTCATTCACCTGCACATCTACTAAAGTGATACATGCCATCATGTGCCAGCAATGCCCCTCTGCCATGTACATTGGCCAAACCGGACAGTCTCTACATAAAAGAATAAATGACACAAATCAGACAACAGGAATGGTAACATACAAAAGCCAGTAGGAGAACACTTCAATTGCCCTGGACATTCTATAACAGATTTAAAAGTAGCCACACTTCAACAAGAAAATCTTCAAAAACAGACTTCAAAGAGAAACTGCAGAGCTACAATTCATTTGCAAATTTAACTCTGTTAATTTGGGCTTGAATAGGGGCTGGGAGTGGCTGGCTCACACAAAAGCAAGTTTCCCTCTCTTGGTATTGACACCTCCTCCTCAGTTATTGGGAGTGGACCACATCTACCCTGATTGAATTGGCCCTGACAACACCGGTTCTCCACTTGTAAGGTAATTCTCTTCTCTTCAAGTGTCAGTATATTTATGCCTGCATTTGTAATTTTCACTCCATGCATCTGAAGAAGTGGGTTTTTTACCCACAAACACACACTTAGCCCAAATAAATCTGTTAGTCTTCAAGATGCCACCGGACACCTCATTGTTTTTGTGGATACAGACTAACATGGCTACCCCTCTGATACCTACCCACCCATGTGTAATACCTGATACCTACCCACCTATGTGTAATAGTCCCCTAACCTCTGATACCTACCCACCTATGTGTAATAGTCCCCTAACCTCTGGCTGAATTACTGAAGTCTTCAAATCATGGTTTAAAGAATTTAAGTTAGAGGATTCACCATTTACACTAGTTTAAACCTGTAAGTGACCCATGCTGCAGAGGAAGAAAAAATACCTCCTGGGGTCTCTGTCAATCTGACTCTGGGGAAAATTCCTTCCCATCCCCAAACATGCTGATCAGTTAGGCCATGAGCATGACCCAACAGGCAGATACCTGGGAAAGAATTCTTTGTAGTAACTCAGAGCCCTCCCCATCCAGTGTGCCTTCTCCAGTCGTTGGAGATTTTTGCTACTGGTAGTTGCCAATGGGCCACATGCATTGTAGGCAGCCCCGTCATACCATCTCTTCCATAAACTTATCAAGCTCAGTCTTAAAGCCAGTTAGGTTTTTTGCCCCCACTGCTCCCTTAGAAAGGCTGTTCCAGAACTTCACTCCTCTGATGGTTAGAAACCTTTGCCTATTTTTAAACCTAAACTTGTTGATGGCCAGTTTATAGCCATTTGTTCTTATGTACACACTGGCGCTTAATTTAAATAACTCCTCTCCCTCCCTGGTATTTATCCCTCTGATATATTTATAGAGAGCAACTGTATCTCTCCTCAGCCTACTTTTGGTTAGGCTAAACAAGCCAAGCTCTTTGAGTCTCCTCTCATAAGGTAGGTTTTCCATTCCTCAGATCATCCTAATAGCCCTTCTCTGCACCTGTTCCAGTTTGAATTCATCTTTCTTAAACAAGACACCAGAACTTCACACAGTATTTCAGATGAGGTCTCATCAGTGCCTTGTATAATGGTTCTAACACTTCCCTGTCTCTACTGGAAATACCTCACATGATGCAGCCTAGGACTACATTAGTCTTTTTCACAGCCACATCACATTGATCGCTCAGAGTCATCCTGTAATACACTATTACACTCAGGTCTTTCTCCTCCTCTGTTACTTCCAACTGTTAAATTCCCATCTTATAGCAAAAATTATTGTTGTTAGTCCCCAAAATGCATGACCTTGAACTTTGCACTGCTAAATTTTGTCCCATTTCTATGACTCCAGTTTACAAGATCATCCAGATCTTGTAGAATATTCCAGTCCTCCTCTGTACTGTCAATACCTTCCAACTTTGTGTCATCCGTGACTTTATTAACACACGCTTTGTGCCACGGTTAGTAATAAAAATGTTAAATAAATAAGAGTGGTCCCAAGATCAATCCCTGAGAAACTCCTCTAGTAATCTCCCTCCAGCCTGACAGTTCACCTTTCAGTATGACCCACTGTAGTCTCCCTTTAACCAGATCCTTATCCATATGTCTTTCTTGTGCTTATTCTCCGACTGTTCCATAGTATGTCTTTCACTTCCTCAGAACAGTCCTTCTTGATCCCCATCAGTCATGGGGTAACCAGGCCTTGAGGTGGAGTTCTGTGAGGTTGGGGTGATGGACTCGCATTCTGTGACAGAAGGCGAGGCACTAAGGGAAGGGTTTGAGGTGGTTTCACTGCCATCTGTCACAGGTATGGGAACAACATTTTGTCTGGGCCATGTGGGTGCAATGAGAATGACCCTGGATTTGTCCTGCCTGATCTTGTGAATGTCTCGGCTCAGGAATGGCATCAGAGGAAATGCATACATCAGTGGCGCCTCCCATTTTATGAGGAGAGCGTCGCCTAGGGAGTGATTTCCCAATCTGGCCTGGGAGCAATATTGTGGACACCTGGGAGTTCTGACCTGTTGCAAAAGAGATCTATGGTGGGGAACCCCCATAGTTTGAATACGGCTTTGAGAATTCTGGGATCCATCTCCCACTCAGGGATTTTTCCACAAACCCACGCTTAGCTGATCTGCTCTTGTATTCTGACATCCCAGCAGATAGAAAGCTGATTTCTCTATGTGGTTGGTGATGCACCAATTCCAGAGGAGTATTGACTCTGTACATAGGGAGTATGATCGTGCTCCCCCTTGGTGATTTATATGGAACATGCAAGCTATATTGTCTGTAAGGATGTCGATGGCATTGTTCTTGATTAAAGTGCTCACGTGCATTTCGGACTGCCCTTAGTTCCAATAAGTTTATTTGTAGGTCGGACTCTGCTGGGGACTAGTGGCCTTGGATCATATTGTTGCATAGATGTGCCCAACCAACAAGGGAGGCATCCGTCATGACTGGAACTTTTTGTTGGAAAGGGATGCCTGAGCAGACGTTCTGTGGTTGTGTCCACTATGTTAGTGAGTTTTACCCTGCATGGCATTGTGAGGCGTCTGTTGAGAGAGAGAGAGAGATAAACTGTTCGAAGCCAGGCCTGTAAGAATCTCATGTGGAGTCTGTCATCTTTTATAACAAACGTTGTCTCCAACATGTGTCCCAAGAGTTGTAAACATGTTCTGGCAGATGCTTGTGGGCTGTACATCACCACTAAAATTAGGTTGACTAGAGTGAGGAAGCATTGTTGGGGTAACATTGCTGTTGCTGTGAGACAGTCCTATGAATTCCAGCAGTTGAACAGGAACCAGTGGGCACTTCGGTGCATTTATTTGCAACCCAAGGTCCGTGAACAGGGTTATTGTGGACTGCATGGCATTTATTGCTCCTTGCTGCATTGATGCCCTTATCAGGCAGTCGTCTATGTATGGAAATATCATCACTCCTTGTCTGTAGAGGTGA